AGTGAGAGTCAGTGTGTGTGGGACTGTACCCCAGTGAGAGTCAGTGTATGTGGGAGCCGTACCCCAATGAGAGTCCGTGTGTTGGAGCTGTACCCCAGTGACAGTCAGTGCATGTGGGACTGTACCCCAGTGAGAGTCAGTGTGTGTGGGAGCCGTATCCCAGTGAGAGTCTGTGCGTGTGGGAGTCCAATCTCCGCGGCTTCCTTGCTACATAATATCAGGTGTTACCCACTGATACTCCTCGTGTGGCCTCCATTCCTGGCTCTACTACTTGATCTATCTGGAATCCTCACAGTTGCTACAACTTCAACCTGGCAAGGCGAGACTATAGGGTCACCAACCAATCGAATAGTGACAGGGGCACGTGTCGACTATTCAGCACATCGAGTCTACTCTACCTGCTCTATCACATAATCCAGCCTTCCGTCGACTCCGTCTATATTTCCCACTGCCTCGGGAGAGCAATCAACTTTATCAAAGACCCCTCCCACCCCGGTTATACTCACTTACACCCGCTTCACCATGCAGAACATATAAAAGTTTGAACACATGCACAAACCGATTCAAGAACAGCTTCAGTCTTTTGAACAAACCTCTCCCAAGTTAATTCTGACCTTTTTCTCTCTGTACCTCTTCTGTTGTTGTAACACTGTATTCTGCACAGTGTTCTGCTACTCTGATGCACTTTGTATGGTATGGTCTGTGTGTACAGCACAGAAAACAGCATATTTCCCTGTAAGTTAGTACACGTGACAACAATAAATCAACCATTCAATGAGATCATTGGTTAACCTGGTAGTCCTCAACTCCACTTTCCTGCCTCTTCCCTTTAACCTTCAATTCCACCAACTGATTAAAAATCTCTCTATCTCAGCCTTGAATATACTTATTGACCCCACCCAACAGCCCACTGTGTTAAAGAATTCCACAGATTCACTCGTCTCTGAAAGAAGAAATTTCTCCTTATCTCCATCTTAAGTGTGTGATCTCTTCTTCTGAGATTATACCCTCTGGTCCTAGACTCTCCCACAAGGGGAAACATCCTCTCCACATCTACTCTGCCAAACCTCCTAAGAATCTTGGATAACAAGGTGTAGAGCTGGATGAACACAGCAGGCCAAGCAGCATCATAGGAGCAGGAAGGCTGACGTTTCGGGCCTAGACCCTTCTTCAGAAATGGGGGAGGGGAAGGGGGTTCTGAAATAAATAGGGAGAGAGGGGGAGGCGGATAGAAGATGGATAGAGGAGAAGATAGGTGGAGAGGAGACAGACAGGTCAAAGAGGTGGGGATGGAGCCAGTAAAGGTAAATGTAGGTGGGGAGTTAGGGAGGAGATAGGTCAGTCCAGGGAGGACGGACAGGTCAAGGGGGTGGGATGAGGTTGGTAGGTAGGAGATGGGGGTGGGGCTTGAGGTGGGAGGAGGGGATAGGTGGGAGGAAGGACAGGTTAGGGAGGTGGGGACAAGCCCGGTGAGAGTCAGTGTGTGTGGGACTGTACCCAGTCTGGTTTTGGGATGCAGTAGGGGGAGGGGAGATTTTGAAGCTTGTGAAGTCCACATTGATACCATTGGGCTGCAGGGTTCCCAAGCGGAATATGAGTTGCTGTTCCTGCAACCTTCGGGTGGCATCGTTGTGGCACTGCAGGAGGCCCAGGATGGACATGTCATCTGAGGAATGGGAGGGGGAGTTGAAATGGTTCGCAACTGGGAGGTGCAGTTGTTTAGTGCGAACCGAACGTAGGTGTTCTGCAAAGCGGTCCCCAAGCCTCCACTTGGTTTCCCCGATGTAGAGGAGGCCACAACGGGAACAG